GAATAGTCGATTTTACCCCTAAAAAAAAAAAAAAAACTTTTTTACTTTTATTTATTTATTTTTTTTTTTCATCGTTCACCGAATTAAATTTTACAAATTACATTTTTTCCAGGGTGAATTTGAAAGTCAATATACATTTTAATAATTATAATAAATGTGACAATCATATAAAAAGCTTCGATATCAATTTTTGGAAGATTAAATAGATAAAACGTGGAAAATTGTTAACATTTCCATGTTGTCTTTCGAGCTTTTAATTAAAATAAAAGAACAAGATCGAAATTTTAAACTCTGACATTAAACGTTGTGATAAAAAGAGAAGATGATTTATAATATAAGGATAAAAATCATTGAAAAGTATTTAAAAAAATAAATAAATAAATAAATGAAGAACGTTAAAATATATCTAAATGGGAAAAAAGAGTACATTGAAAAAAACTAATGGGATATCGAACAAAACATTATTTAAAAAAAAAGGCCTGAATGTTATTTATTGTAAAATATGCAATAAGCTCATTAGATCGAAATATTACTTAAAATTTCACATGGCAGTTCATACAAAGGAAAAAAATTATTTATGTGGACTTTGTAATAAAAATTATCAACAAAAATGGAATTTAATAACTCATATGGCTAGAGTGCATTCGAAAAAAAAACCATTTAAATGCAACGATTGTAACAAAGAATTTGGATATTCTTCTCATTTTAAAAAACACGTTAAAAAACATTTTCTTGATAAAATTAACATTCCGGAATACATTAAAAAAATTATATTAAATCCTTATAAATGTCAGTATTGTAATAAAATTTTTGAAACTAAATATCGATTGAAAATTCATGTTGAAATACATAATACAACAACTGACTAAAAAATCATTTTCGCCGCATTTAAAAATTTGTATATATGTTCACATGATGGAAAAGATTTCTTTTTTTTTCATAAATTTAATTTTAGAAAGAGGTAATATATTAATTTTTTTCTTTTAAGTTAAAGTTTTAAATAAATCATACTTATTTTTACTTTTTTATTTTTAGCATATACATAAAGTATAATATTGTATATATAGAGAGAGAGAAATAAACAAAAAATAAAATAAAGTAAAAAAATCTAAAATTTTTGGATTCATTTGACCGGAAGTTAATAATAAACAATTATTTGTCTCAGTTTAAATATTGAATTAAAAAGTGAGGAAAAATTATGCAGGAAAAACCAGAAATAACGACAAAGAGTTAAAATGAATAATAATAATAATAACTACAAAATAAAATTGACTAAACATATAGAAAAAAAAAAAAAAATTAATTGGCCTTTTTTAATTCAGCTACAAAAATGATAGAAAAATTTTCAAAGGTTGAAAAAAAAAAAAAACAGTTGAGTACAAAGATGGCAAAAATTTTAAGTAAAATAAAAAATATGAAAATAAAAATTTATTTTACTTACCAATCATTATCTTGTGAATATGAAGATTTTATATGTCTTTCATATTGATCCTCCAACCAACCATTTATTCTGTTTTCGGAAATTTTTTTTTCATTTGTATTGTCACAATCACTTATGCAATTATCAACTTTTGTCTTCTTCATACTTTGTAACCTGAAATAAAAATTTTTCATTTTAGATTAATGCAGTTGATGGGTAAATACCTGAAATGTTTTTACAGAAATTTTTCTGCCAATGTTCCAACAATATTTGCTCTTTCTTCTGGTAAGGCATATTTTTTAAAAATAAATTTAAAAACATGAGTTTATTAACGTAAGTCTTACAATTTCATATCTATCAGGTCAAGGGAAATGTGGTGTGGCAGTGATTCGGGTATCTGGACCCAATGCCCGAGAAGCCATTTTAAAAATGACTAAATGCAAGGAATTGCCTAAACCTAGAATGGCGAGCCTTCAATTAATAAGAGATCCTCAAACTCTAGAAGAACTTGATAAAGGCTTGATTTTGTGGTTTCCAGGTATATTTTTATTTGGATCATACAAATTAAAATATGTACAAAATAAACAACATTTTGCTTTTTATAAGAGCCCAAAAGTTTTACTGGTGAAGATTCGTGTGAATTTCAAATTCATGGAGGACCAGCCGTAATCGAATCCGTTTTAACGGCGTTATCAAAGCTGTCAAATTTTCGAATGGCCGAACCAGGTGATTTTACAAAACGTGCTTTTCACGCTGGTAAATTGGATTTGGTAGAAGTTGAAGGCTTAGGAGATTTGATTCATGCTGAAACTAATCTTCAAAGAAAACAAGCTCTGTATCAAATGGAAGGTAATTTGAGCAAACTGTATAAAACGTGGAGAGCTAACCTTTTAAAGGTAAATTCAGAAATAAATTAATATGAAATGTGTTTTCGCCCGAGGTATCATATGTACTATTTCAGAATTTGGCTCACGTGGAAGCTTACATAGATTTTAGCGAAGATGAGAATATTGAAAATGACATTATTGAGAACGTTCATAAAAATTTGACTGTTTTGAAAAATGAAATAGAAAATCATTTATCAGATGGCAGAAAAGGTGAAAGATTACGTGATGGAATAAAAACTGCTATTATAGGAGAGCCTAATGCTGGGAAAAGCAGTTTATTAAATATTTTATGTAAATATCTTTCGTTTATGAATTTCTAAATGTGTAGAGATTAGTTTTTTGTAAATTTAAAAACAATTTTTGAAAATATTTTAGGCCAGAAACCAGCTGCAATTGTAACTCCAATACCTGGAACTACTAGAGATACTATATCAGTTCACCTAAATTTATGTGGGTTTCCACTCACATTAGTAGATACAGCTGGCTTAAGATCAAATGCCACTGATATTGTAGAACAAGAAGGAATTTCAAGAACCAAAAAAGTCACAGGACAATCAGATATACTTTTACTAATTATTGATGCAAAAATGTTGATGTCACATTTTCAAACCACATCAAGTTTACATAAACCTGATATACTAAGTGTAATTAAAGCTCACATCAAAAATTTAGATTTGAAAACTGACTGCAATATAACTCTTGAATCATTAATGAAGAACAATTTACAAAAATGTATTTTTGTATTAAATAAAATTGACTTACTAAATAATGAAGAAAAAGAAGTGTTTCAAGCATTTATGAAAGAAAATAATTTTACATTTAGTCTTATTTCTTGTAAAACAGAAGAAGGAGTTAATCAACTTTTACAAAGTATGGCTAAAACAATGCAACATGTGTAAGTAAAAATTTAATTCCTTTTAACTAATTAATTAAAGTCCGTTTTTTTATGTATTTTTATTTGTTGGCGCTATTTACAAATATTGAATTGCTTTTTATATTTTTTGAAATATTATGTTTTATATTGATACAGATGTGGAAATCCAACTAGAGAAAATCCTGTTTTAACTAATAGTAGACATAGATACCATTTGACTGAATCGTTAAAATATTTAAATGAATATTTTAAATTTGCTGATACCGACATAACCTTATCTGCACAAAAATTGAGACTGAGCCTTCGACATATTGGTAAAATTATGGGAATAGTTAGTACAGAAGAAGTGTTAGATATAATTTTAAAGATTTTTGTATTGGAAAATGAACTTACCTAATAAATAATTTTTTTCATTAGAAATTAAAGTTTTTCTTTTTAAATTACAAACACTAGTTACAATTCCTTTTTTCACAGACAACAAGTCTAAATTTATATGAGCAAATTACTTGCATTTGCTACGGTAAAGAAATATAAAATTTTTTATTGAAATTCAAATAACGATACTACAATAATTGCGAAATCTTGTTAATGAAACGTATTAAAGATATTATTTTTATTTTTTTTGTAGCTGGAATAACCTAAAAATGTTAATAAATTCAAGCTTAATTTCATTTAGTGTATCATAAAATTTATTTATTCTTGAGACTCGGTTAAAAATACCACAAGTAAAATTATTTGTTGAACAGTTAAATTAATTCATTAAAATATTACGTTTTTTAGATAAATGTTACTTACAAATAGTAATTTCATTAAAAATGCTTGCACCGTTCATTTTCGAAAAAAAAATTTTTTTTTGCAACAGTTTTTAAGGTACTTTACTGACCGGCAAATTCAAGTACCACATTATTTATTTTTCAATTCTGGTTTGGATAAAGAAGACAAGATAAGTCTTATAACTGGTATCAAAGTCATTGATGATTTTATAACTAATGAGGAAGAAAATTCATTGCTGCTCGAGTTAAATTCTCATTTAAAAAGAATGAGATATGAAACCGGTCATTGGGATAACGCTATAAAAGACTTTAGGGAAACTGAAAAATCAGAATGGAATCCAAACAATTTTAAGATAATAGAAAGAGTTAAAAATTTTGTTTTTGAAAATCAAGTGGTTCCTATTAAACAAGTTCATGTTTTAGATTTGAAGGAAACTGGAGTTATTTTACCCCATATAGATAGTATTAAATTTTGTGGTTCAACTATTGCAGGGTTAAGTTTACTCTCTGATTCTGTAATGAGATTAGTTCATAGCAAAGATAAAAAAAAAATTGTCGATGTACTTCTTAAACGTTGTTCTTTATATATTATGACAGGTGATGCAAGATATAATTACACTCATGAAATTTTAGGAAATGATAATTCAAAGTTTGGAGACAAAATTATTAAGAAAGGCAGAAGAATATCTGTTATTTGTAGGAATGAGCCATAAAGTAATTCTTTTAGCAAAAAATATCTGGTTTTATTTATAACAAAACTATATGATTTATTTGGAAAGCTAAGCTTAAAAAAAAT